AGCAGCTGTGACTGTAGCAGCATCAGCACTTCTGGTGATCCAGTGGAGAAGAATGGACAGTATGTGCTCATTATAGATGTGTGTCTGAATGTCTGTGTCAGGATGGACTGTAAATGACAGTGTCTGAGCAGCACACCCTACTCTAGAGAACAGGAGTCAGTGCACAGACACCCTGTCAAGAGCTGTAGATCCCAGCAGCTCAGCTTCTCAGAATGGGTTATAGAGGGAGATCTACACTGTGGGATGGGTTCCTACCAGTCAGAACCAGAACCGGCCCACAGCAGCTGTCCTTGCAGAGACAGACCCAGCTCCTCCAGTGTCAGAGCTCCTCTGTCTTCAGCTGAATCTCACTGTGAGTTTCCAGTGGAGGTGAATCAGGGTGAAGTTACTCAGGAGTTGTTCCATCATCTATGGGCAACACTGAACATCTGACCTTCTCCTCTGGGATGGAAACTCAGAGAATCCCAGCACACCCAGGATCTTCTTGCTGGGCTCCTTCCTGATTCTCACCCCCTAGAGAACAGTGTGTTAATGGTTATAGTGACACCAGCACTGTGTCCAATACTCTCTATAAACAATTAGTGTTTCAGTGTTTCCTTGTCCAAGTAAATCAGTAACAATCTAATTCATCTGATATGTAGTAGATTTCAGATCTGAACTCACTGTTTATCCCACTGCAGCTGTAATAATAATATTCTGACAGCTGCCCAAGAGGAGATTAACATACAGCATCAAAGACAGCAGAGCTGATCCCTGAGAATCTCTCCTGCTGTGGTCTGCACTGTCTCAGTGAGGTCATTCTGGAAGATCTGTACAGTCTCTCAGTCTCCCTGTGTCACAGAGTGAGAGAGACAGAGTGAGCTGAGGAGAGGAGCTGATCCTCAGTACTGGGCCTCAGTCTCCTCACAGAATCTTCTCCAGCCTGTCTGATACAGATTCTGGTTAATACTGTATATCAGGGTCACACACTCTACTGAACACACCTCTCTAGACTGCAGTCAGTACAGGATCTTCTCCAGCCTGTCTGATACAGCTGGTACAGCAGGAAACAGCTCAGCAGATCTTACTGGAGCTTCACTTCACAACCAGCGGGTCTTCTCCACTGAAACCAGCAGTGTCTGTGTAGGAGATTCTCTCACACAGCTGCTGAAGGGACAGTAATCAGTGCTGAGCAGGACCAGGGCAGGAGCTGTTATTTTTTACTCTGTACAAACACCTCCCTGAGCTCTTAATGACCAGTCAGGACACAGAGGACAGTGAGGACATTAGAAGATGGAAACACACTGGATTTGCACTCAGTTCTGGAACAAGTCCCAAGAGACAACAAAACTGGAGCTGCTGAAAGGCACAGTTATTTAGACTGAATCTAGATTGAGCAGCATTAATGATCAGGGAATTAAAACACTGTCCACTGTCTCAGCTCCATCTTCATGATAGGATGGTGTTATCACAGTGTTTAACCAGGAAGACTCCACAGAGAGAAGAGGGTTTTGCTCTGGACTGTAGTGAGCTGTTAATACAGGACATCATCACAGAGCTGCTGTTACCCTC